GGTAAAGCCAGCATCCAGATTGCCTGACTGGAAATTACATCATTTCCAGTTTTCGTAATCCCCATTTTCTTTTGAAAGTTTCTGTATCGTTCGACTTGAAGTGCGAGATCGCCGGAGAGATAGCTAGCATCTCATGAGCAATAGGACTCAATGATTATTACTCCTATCCAGGAAATTCTTTCGATCACGAAGAACGCCTTTGTTAAAATTAAATTAAGTAGATTAAATGGAGGATTGAGAGGCTTTATTAAACGTCTTTTTGCGAATTTTGTTTCGTCTTCTTGCCTGTCCGATTTTGATGCAATTATTCAAAATGCGATATAGTAGCACATTTGCTTAGTTAACGGTCACTACTTACATGGAAGGATATTGGTCATTAGTGAATTTACAATGAAGCAACAGTAGACTGATATCTAAAATATGATATAAAAATTCAGGCGTTCTTCTTTACGCTCAGTGCGACCCTGTACCGAAGAACGACAACGACAAATGCGACTCACATTGTAACAAATCACGCCAACTTCACACGAATATGCTTGACATGTCAATGCTTCAGTAACTGAAACATGCGTGCGGATGCGTTCATGTTCAAACATCTGTAAATAAGCTAGGTTGCCAGCCAGACTAACATGGCTAAAAACCGGACTTAGATGATTCGCTGATGTCAGGAATGTGCGAAAGAGCATTTCATCTCGGAATTTGTCCTGGTTATTCAGGTTGAAGCTAAGCCTTTCTGCTCGAAGGTCCGACGTTAAAAGCCATGACGAGCCGCCGGGTTCAGTGGCGCTGAGCAAAGCTCGCAGTTACTCGAGAAAGACTGTCGATTTATTACAGAAAATAATGACCCAGGAATTGGCGTGGCTCGGCTATACTGAACGGACTTGGCAGCAATACCAGAAATATTTTAAAGTAATTATTGTTGTACATCTCGTTCAGGCAGAGGCAAGTGAGTTACAAATATTAAATCAACTGAACTCTTTTCATCGTAGTACATTACAAATATAGTAAGATAACTGAATTGGCATAGATGAGGGCAATAAAATTTAATTGAATTAACAGAATTTTCAACTGAGAAATTGCTGCCGCCTACATAATCTTAAGATACCTCAGCAACTCATGTGAGCTAGAATGAAAATAGGATTGCTCTCGCAAAGCAAAATAAATTGGCGGAGTAAGAGTACAAATCTCCGAGCAGTCGAAGAAACAAAATAAAGCATGCAAACTTTGAAATTATTATTTCCGAATACTCGTTGAATGAGATCGGAATCCCTCCCCACCCCCCAAAAAAAATAGCCAAAACACGCTTACAATGCTATATGAATATAATGAATGTAATTTATACATGTGCTTTGAGACAGCAGCACGAAATCTCCTGAATACGATATCATAAAGAGGAAACAATAAAAAAACACGTATAGAACGTAGTTTGAGAGCGAATTAATAAATAACTCAAGTAATGAATTTCATTTAAAGTTCCTGTTCTGTGCTGAGGTTAATAAAATGGGAGGGAGTAATATAAAGTGTGATGCGATTGTTTCGAGACCAAGCGTTTTATTATGCTTTATATCGAACGTTTGGCAAGCCTGTCTCGTGACCTGTTGCCGATTCTTTTCCTTTTCGTGCCTTGTTCACAGAAGATCTAAAATCGTGTCATTTGACCGAATATTTTCATGACTGACGATAGTTTGAAGTAGCTACTAGACTTCCACCGAGTTGGATAAGGTGCTAGGCATTTCAAATCTGAACATAAATTTTTCCATAGCTTTATCAAGTCTGTTCTTGAACGCGTTCATACTTGGAGCGCCAACGATGTCATCAGGGGGCTGTTCCACATGTCGGTGATTCGAAGCGAGAAGAAATTTTGTCGCGTGGAGAAGTTGCAGCGCAGTTTTTTTAGCTTATAGCCGTGGCCCCTGGTGTTGGTTCTTGTTTCAAATTCTAGTAACCCTTCAGGGACCTTGTATAGACCATGAGTATACTTGTATACTTCAATGAGGTCCCCACGAAGACGTCGATAACTGAGGCTTGGAAGCTTCATAATCTTCAATCTTTCTTCATAGGACTTGTCCTTCAAGCCTGGAATTATCCTTTTCGCACGTCTTTGAACATTCTCTATTCTATTTCCAAACTCTAGATTCGGGCGCACATTCGTTATGCCAGGGTTAGGTTTAACTTTGCTCGGTGGCGGCGTATATAAGGAACCTAAGTTTGCGCTACACGTATAATTGATTCGAGGTTCTTCTGATTGGTAAATTGGAAGCATATTACAGTATGGACAGCTTGTTACGGCATCACTTTTTTTACGTTACTTCTCGCGACAACTTGGAATTTCCAAATTGACAAATTTTACACAGAATTTGAACGTGGGTGAAACTTCTTCATATAATATCTCGTCAATCATTGTTTTCCCTTTTCTGAATATATGAACATTGAGAATTTTCGGGGAAACCAAGATTTTTTTCATACCCTTAGATATAATTTCAATTAAAATGTCGTCTTACTCAATCATTATAAACATCGAATGGGGTTAGTTAAAACACAGGTATATCTTTTACGTGGATTTTAATAACTGGAAACACTTGTCGTGGGTAGGAAAATATTCAACACGAAATTGGTTATCAACACTCAAACATTATAAAGGATATCGTACGTAATAATGAACGCAGGAACAAGCTAACATCTTTGAACAAACCTCGGTATCTACAATCTACGCAGCTTATCTTTACGAGTCGTAACGACTCGAAAACGAACCGATCAATGGACTAAAATTAAAACACACGAACAAAATGGCTTCCTAAACCTAACAAATAATAAATAATTGCCGAACCTAACGAGAACACTTAATCCAAAATTGCCGAACTCCTCTCCACGTGCTCCAGTTGAGGAAAATATGTACAGGAATTGAGCGCGTTTAACCATAAATACATATCAGTGATATATTAAAATAAAAACGTAAGTTACCGAAAAAACTCACGGCCGATCTGTCGCAGGCGACTTTACTACTAAACTCGCAAAGCAGATCAGCAAACTTGACTTTGCCAAATGTAAACTGGATCTTTTCTGCTTATGCGAGTTCATTTAACACTAATCACTACAAACCTATTATTTTCAATAGTTATGAAATAGGTACAGCTGGGCAGTGCAAGGCTAAAGTAAGCTAATCTCATTTACGATTCTGAATTTCACAATTAAATTTACTATTTCCAACGATTCAATGGCAGAAGAATGAGAACTTACGAGTCAATAACCAAGCGCACAGAAAGGCATTCGTGACACCGGAATTTCTTCCCACGTTCAAGTATGGACATCGTGTTACGAAAGCAATGTTAAGTATTGAAAATTAATTAGCGAATATAAATAAATTACTCTCGAATGTTCTAATATCTTCGATGCAAGTCATGTAGATTTGAGCAGCCGTACAATCGGAGATGGTAATTATTAAGGCAGGGAATATCACATTGGATTAGAGAACTTGAGAGCTCTCATTAAATTGGGCCGTCTTATTTTTCTTCTTCAAGGTACAGTGGATACTTCATAATTGAAGAAAAACCGCCTCATATACCCCAGAGTAACATCGAGCAATTACACATGTAATTGCAGTAGCTTGCTTATACGTTTATTTGGCCGCAGCAGCCGAGTACTCATGAAGAAAGTCTACCCGTCAGTAGATTACGAGCAGGTCGCTGCCACAAAATGGGTCAATAACATTAGGATAATATATAAAATTGGATACGAAAAAATCTTGCTTATAATCCTTGAATAGAAGATAAATCTTATTCTTACAAAGGATAAGATTAATCCTTTGTAAGATTAGATCCTCTTTAGAAGGGGCTGAAACAAAAGTACAATCTTTACTATCAGGCATACAAACTCCATCTAGTGCAATCTCAGTAAATAAGACTAACAAGTGGCGAATGAACAACAGAAAGATAGCAGCTGCGATAATCGCGTTTGTCGTTCATCAATACAGGGCGCCTAGGTCTCCCTATTGAAGTCGCTTGGGCAACGATCCTGCACATTATTTCATGGAACACGAGCAGGGTTTGAAATTTCGCATTTGAAGAGGATTTAATGACGATAGGAGGATACAATAACGAAATGAAAAAACACTAATCGTAAAAAACACAGTTGGAAATCTAGGAGCTTTATCCGTGCTGTATCACAGATAAAGCTGTAAACTATTCACACACTACCGCATTGGGCAAAATTTTTTTAAGATATATTAAGTTTAGCATTTCAAATGCAACACAACACGGGACTACGACTACGATAACAGAATTTCCGCGAGTTAGTTAGTAATTATTCATACGAGTAAGGAAACTGACTCCAACAGATGTAATAACTTTACTTTATATAGTTTAATTCATATCTATGGGTTCTTCGAAAAACCGTAAGAAATATATATAATATAAAAGAGCAGACGTAAGGACCTAGCGCGGAAACTCAATTAAAAAATTCCGAATTCCCATTCAGACAGACCTTTAATTGTTGGGCAAAGCGCACACGGCAAATAAATTCGCAAGCAAGCGTTTAGAATACACAAGTAAAATAACAATATCAAGCTACAAACAGGCGAGAAATTTTCTCTATTTCGAATCCACCTTCTAATACAATTGTACAGATAAATGAATAAATATTGCTCATGATAGTATTTGCAAAAAATAGTAGAGCCTGCAAGGTGCACGTCGTCATTTAAACTATTAATTAAGCGGTCTAAAACGAGTAAATTTTAGTAATTAAAATTATTGAAAATACGAATTTTGGAGGGAGAGATGTTCAAGGTGCCCAATTGCTGTTAACCAGGGCCTATACTTTCAAAAAAATTTAAGAGATCGTAACTTCATCAGCCAATCATTGACGGCCTTTCGAGCAAAATCCACCAATCAGAGACAAGAAAATAGAGCGTAAGTATTTACGTTCACTCAGCGAGTTTTGAAAGTATGGCCCCAGACATTCTTCACACAGCGAATTTTAAATTGAGCAATTCATAAAGTAGCATAACTAAAAATGAATTGTTGATGAAAGAGAAAGTTAAATAATGAATAATAAGATTGAAATCGAGTCATAGTATTAAAATGTGTTCTAGTCATCATTAGCGGAGCACCATTTATTTTTCTGTATCACTAGTTAATGAGACAAGGCTTAAGTATGAACACGATTGGCAGTGACAATAAAAGAAAAATATAGTCATATTAACATATTGCTACGAAAAAAAATTATAAAGTCAGGATGAAATCAATTTAATTTCAAGTAAAACTGACAGTAAACTGTGTGTCTCGATGAATAATTAGTTGTTTAATTTTATTGAATGATCTAAAAATAATCAAGAGAAAATTTAAAGACAAGAAAAGTCCTTAAGTCGCGGGTATGCGACTGGCTTGCTTACCATGACAGGTTCGTTTCATGTTAATTAAAACCTGATTAATTTAACGAGGGTGGAAGTGAAGTAAGGTCTTCAGTAAATCCATTGCAATTTAAAACTCATGATTACCTTAAAACAATGGATTTGGTTTTGAAGCTTGAATAAATACTTTTGAAGCGAGGGCGCCTTGATAAGCTTAAAATTACAGAAAAAAAATATAAATAATTAAGAACAAAACCAGCAAAGCAAACCTTGCTAATGCCTTTATAATAATTCATGTACACTGACTCCTACCCAATGAGTTCTCACGTAATCAATGCGCTATGGTAGTTGAATTTCTCTTATAGAATATTAGTAGGATCGGAGCCGAACTAATTAAATTATTTAAAACTTAGCGCTTGCCAAATGCCAAATGTGGTCAACTATCGCATCCCAGATGGGAGATTTTTTTTCTCCGGAATTGAGGGCTCGAATCCAAGAAAATTGTCGGATTTCTTCACACATACCGGTATCGCCGAATTTCCAGAACCGTCAGTACCCATTACCATAGCTTCTGCGTTCCCATTGATCAAGCTACCATCGTCAGGCCTACTTTGTGAAGAGAAGCCATTATTTTTACTATCAGCTTCAGAATTTTCAACACATGCATTATCCAAATGAACTTTATCGCCTTCAATGTGGATTTTTTTCGCCAGCGGTTCACCACTATCAGGAGATTCTCTGCCGCTCTTAGTTTCCGAGACGTCACTGTCCATCTGAGAGGCATCGCGTTTGGACTTGGAAGGCTTCAGTGTAATGACATAAGAAGGCGGGGCTTCGATGACTTCCCCAGACAAAAATTCAATAACAATACCATCGTCTCGGACAGAATCAGCCATGGCGTTGAGTTCGGTAAGATCGGAAATCACGTTTTCCTTTCCATCGGATCCAACGCATTTAAGAGGTGAACGATAAATGGGACCAAATGTTCCATTTTTGTGAGAAAAAACATTCACTTTTTCTTGAACTTTTGCTTCCGGTTGTTCTTCCGTAACTAATTCCACACTGAAAAGGTCTTGCTGGTCGTGTTTAATGAAACCTTCAGGGATGACGTATTTAAAAGGCTTAAAATGAACTTTGGTATGATCTTTGATGAAGTTTGGTTGTGATGCAATGTAGTCACAAAAGTTACACTTATGAAGTCCTTTACCTCCGTTAGCAATATGCCGTAAACTGTGACTGTCAACTGCGTCTCTCCTAACATTGGCGTAAGGGCAATACTGGCAGTAAAACACACGTTTGCTGTCGTCCTCCTTGGACTTGGGATCAAGACCTTTCTTGTTCTGAATAAGAATGTGCTGGCGCTCTGAAGTCGTCAAGTCCACTTGTGATGGATCGGCGACAATGGTATCCCGCGACACGTTGTTGTCATCCGCGACCTGGACCACAGGCTCGTATCGAACGTCGTTGTCATCCGGTGTTACCTTCCCGGTTTTCTTACACTCCACCCGTTCATTGTATTTGTGCCTATTGATATGCATGTTGAAATTAGCGAAAAACTTTACCGAGTAATCGCAAATTCTGCATTTATACTTGTGATCGGCGCCGTGTAGATTTGCGTGCACGTTGTATTGGTCTATCTTTTCGAAGGCAGAAGGGCAAAGCTTGCACTTGTAGCGCTTTTCTCTTGTCTTTCCAGAGACTTTGTCAACGTGCAGAGGATAATGCATTGTCGGATCACCCATACGTTTAGCCTCGTTTTCTTGGTCTTTGCATGGCCGCTGGGAGGCCTTCTGAGTCTTTGCTAAACATGCATCGTCAAACTTACTCTTAGGAATTTGTTGTTGCTCCATTTCAGTTTTGTGTCTCAGTAAATCCACTCCTGATAGAGGAACCTGTTCCTCAACGTAATACTTAAATTGTTTCTTTGGTAAACTTGGCAAACTAGACGAAGACCCATTGCTAGATGAAGCTTTCCTTGCGCTGTTTTGTGACTTGACACCAATGAACTTGAGTTTAATGGGAGGATGTAACGAGTTATTGTCGGGAGATTTATCACCAGCGCCTTGGATTATGAATGACAATCCATCGGGCGGTATTTCTTCTTTCTTGCTGGCAATTTCTCTCTTCTCTTTCTCACACTGCTCGTGTAGTGATACGTGTTGACTAAGTGCGTCCTGCGTCTTAGCAGCGTACGTACAGCGGTTACATTTATGGGGATTATCAGCCCCATGTAGCGACTGATGATACTGCAGAGTGATTTGTTTACTGAAAGTCGATGGACACAAAGAACATTTGAAGCGTGTAACCCCAGAGGGATCTTTTGGAGCATCTGAAGTATCCTTGTGTTTTGTCTCCATTTGCGGTCCAGGAGGAACTGACGAACAAGGTACCGACATGCTTGGTACGGGTGGGTACAAAGCAGCACTTTTGTACTGCGTCAAGAGATGGCGGGTGTTTTCCCTATACTCCGGAGAGTGAACTCGAGCATGTGCTAACAAGTGTGGTTCCTGACGAGCGCCATAATCACATTTTTCGCAAATGAAAGTTTGGTTAAATTTTGCCCCGTGGAAACGTGTGTGTATGAGCACTTCTTTCTCGACGAAGAAACGAGCTGGGCAATGTTGACAACAATAAATCATTTTTTCGTCCTTAGCTGAGTCTAGCTTGATCTTTTTTTCGTTTCTAAGGATGTCTTCAGTAGCAAGATTCAACTTGCTGGCTTCCTTGGCTTTGTGCAGTAATGAATTCATCATGGCTTGAGATTTCAAACGATGAATTTGTTCTTCATCAGATTTAGTTTGATCAATAAAGGCGTGGATTCTGCCCAAACTTCCTTCATGCACCTTTGCATGAGCCGAAGTGATATTAATGTTCCCTGAAACATAACTGCAATGGGGGCACTTGAAGCTCCCCTCAGGCAAAGACACATTGCCTTCATTAGGAAAATGCATTTTCTCGTGATCCTGCACATTAGTTTTCCTCAAGTTCACATGTGGGCACCATCGACACTTGAACATCTTGAAGAATCGATCCCCTTTCGACGTCCATACCATTGGGACATCCAAGAGTTTCTCTGTAGCCGAGTCCAGCAATATGGGCAGAAAGTCTGACACAGAAAGACGATTTCCACCTTTACAAACTTCCACGGCGCTGCCGATCGTATCTCCACTACCGTTAATGGGCGTGATTGTGAGCGACGGTGATGGACTATCACTGCGTTCCCGCTGGTTTTCCATACTTGAAATTTGTGTTCCTCCGCCATTGGGACCGAAAATTTGTTCCAGTGTTTCTGGGGGCAGCCCGTGAACGCGTATATGCTGGGCAAGGAGGTGCCTCCTCGTGACGTTGTATGTGCACTGTGGGCACTTGAAGGCCAGGCCCCGAGGTCGGTGGAACTGACGGTGGTGCAGCACCTTGGGGCGGTTGTGGCTCTCAAAGGGGCACGACCCGCACTGGTACAGAGGTGCAAACTCGGACTGTCAGTGAACGAAATTATTGTTATAATATCTTCATCGAATTTTATTCTATTATTTAGATGAAATTTGTGGAATTATGATGTTAAAAAAGTTTCTTCAGAGCTCAAAATTTTTAATGGTAAGACAATTTGTTAGCAATATAATTACATTAGTTGCAAAAGCATTTGATACAAGCAAAATCAACTTAAAAACCATTCAGGTAATTTACCTATTGTAGCCAAGCAGCAGATTTTAAATTCTAAACTACCTTCTAAGTACTTGGAACTTTCTATTATTAGCAGACAATAAATAAAATTACCCCATTCTCTTGCAGTTGTTGCTGCGGTAGCTGCTGTTGTTGTTGTTGCTGCTGCTGCTGTTGCTGTGGTACGCTTTCTGTAGCAGCTTTAATAGGTCCAGGCACCTGTACGCCGTGTACCAGCAAGTGTTCGAACAACTCCCTGCAAATTAATACTCAATTAATACAAGCGAAATATATTTAAATTTAGGCCACTATTTCTTGAGACGACATGATACGTTAACAAGTTAAGATGAAGCGTTAATTACAATTTTCACGGAACTTGATTCAACAGCTCAATTGGTCAACATATACTCGAGTCGAAATTGAACAGCATTTAATAACCGCATCCACGTAAGTTCTCTTTGGTAACGCGATATTGTCCACAAACACGATAATTAAAGTCTATTTAATAACATAAGGTGTATCGAGTCTCACGTGGTTGATACTGCGAACATTTGGAATGTCAGCCAAGTACAGAATTTATCATTGCTAGATATAATCATTTTTATCACGCACGTGATTAACATTAATAACTTAGAATAGCAATAAAATGTATATACTTTGCATAAGAATATCAACTTAGAAAGGAAATTTGAAAACTTAACCCCGTTAAACAAAGTTCATCGCAGTAAAATACAGGAGACTTCAACTCCAGGCAAGGAGTGATCATCTTACAAGACTCCAATGTATTTAATTCAATAACTTTATGGGCTCAACAGAAACCTTCAATGATGAACAGAAACCTACAATAATGAGCAGACAAATATGAAAAACCGAGCTCACGACAGCCTATGGATGGAATTGATCCAAAGTCAACTCTAACCTCCCGCGCTTGAAACATGTCTTGATTTTCTAATTTGAGAGCTTGGACGAAAGTTAAAGACCAAGACATGGTAGATTATTAAACTTACCGTTGTAGAACAAACGAGTTTCATTCTTAAACCCTTATAGCAAAAATACCCGTAAGTTACTACACTAACAGATTTCACAAAATCTTTAGTTATTAATTAATGATATTATCATTTAAAATTTCCAAAAAGAAATGAATTATATCGATCGTTAATTTCGCGACACTTTCCACTGCACAGTTTGAAACAAGCCTGGATTTCTTGTGAAGTATAAACTATAAAGTATAAACTCACGTTTTACTGTTGACATAAAATGGGCAGGCCATACACTTAAAGATGCAGTCGGCGCGTGGGGTGTGGCGACTCAAGTGTTGCTTGTAGACGCTGCGGCGAGAAGTTTTGTAGGGGCACAGGCGACATGAGAACGACTTTGGGGACCCAGCGCCCTGTGCCGTGCTGGGGTCTGGAGAAAATTATTCCAGATGAGACAAGGAAAATAAATAAAGTCTGTCAAATTATTCCAGGTGAGACAAGGAAAATAAATAAAGTCTGTCAAATTATTCCAGGTGAGACAAGGAAAATAAAATAAAGTCTGTAAAATTATTCCAGGTGAGACAAGGAAAATAAATAAAGTCTGTAAAATTATTCCAGGTGAGACAAGGAAAATAAATAAAGTCTGTAAAATTATTCCAGGTGAGACCAAATAAAAAATAAAATGTATGTATAAATAAAATAAAATCTGTCAAATTATTGCAAGTGAGACAAAAATAAATAAATAATTCAATGTATCGACATCTAGTAAATGGAGAGCAGGTCAAATTTACAATAAAAATTTCACATCTAGGTCATGGAATTTAATGAATTTAGAACCAAGTCATAACTTTATGAAATCGACAATAACCGCGATGGTTTATAATCAACTTAACGGCCCTGTATTTCTAAGAGACTAATTTCATCAGCTAAGTTTTCTGAACTTGAAAAAAAACATCTACTAGCAAACATGTACCGTAACTAAGAGGCGTGCGGTGTAACGATATAAAACCTCAAATTCTTGTAAGCATGATTGCCTCCTTAACTGAATAAAAATTGAGCCTAATCTATCATCGCGGAAGAGAAACGTACAAAATTATTATTTCCCGCGATATAATACATGATCTACGACCAAATATCATCACACGAACCAGCGCCAGGACTCTCTCCTTCACAGCTGCTGGTGATGCCTCCACGGCCACCATGGGCACTGTCGATGTGCAGCTGTAAGAGAAAAATCAAATGCACAGCTGTAAAAACTAAATAAAATAAATTATTCATGTGAGAACTTGACAGGACAAGTTCCCTAAACGTGTGAACATGCGTCGTAAAAATTAACCTGTACGTCATACACACAATATTGAACTGTACGTCATACACACAATATTGAACTGTACGTCATACACACAATATTACCCTGTACGTCATACACACAATATTACCCTGTACGTCATACACACAATATTACCCTGTACGTCATACACACAATATCTGTCTCTTATACACATCTAGATGTGTATAAGAGACAGCATGGTGCGTCAAGATGGTTCAGCACATGTCGCGACGTGCGCCCTAAGCCGGCGAGGATGCCGGGCTGGGGCAGTCCAACAGGCTTTTGTTGAGTCGCCGCGCTGCATGAGATCGATACGACCAAGTGTTCTATCCCACCTTCAGAAATGTGGTTTGGTGTGTGTGGTGTTCACTCATCGCACTATCAATGAATGCAGCCAAACAGGTGTTTCTGCGTAGTACGAAATATTCACGAGTTCTTATATCCATCAAACTTAGTTGATTACCAGCTACACACATGATGAGTTACATCAGCTGTACAAGAAATAATAATTTTTCAATGTTTCGCGTAATTGAGAAGCAAATCTGCTTGTTACTCTACGAGCAAATCAGAGACAGTAACTTTAATGTAATGCTGCGAATGAATTATAGTCACTGCAAAGATAATGAGTGAAAATGTCTCTCAATTTCCTATGGGTAGATAATAAACTGTAATTTAGATGAAGATTTGGGTTAATCTGGTAAAGTTAAAATTTATAGAATTATTAGTAAGAAAAATTAGGATTAATAAAAGATATCACGAATCCTAGATACAATTTTTTTGTGAATTCACAACTGAAAATAAAAAATTGAAAAATAAATATTCGTAAGACACCATAGTTGGATCAATATTTAGGAAGAAACGGCAAAAATCTATCAACAAATCAGCAATGTACTGGTCATTACGACGTTCTAAAAATATCCATTATCCATAAAATATTCATTGTCCATAAAATATCCATTATCCATAAAAATATCCATTATCCATAAAATATCCATTATCCATAAAATATCCATTATCCATAAAATATCCATAATGAAAATGGTCTTCAATTCGGCAATTAATAACTACATTGAGTGAACTTATCTCAGTGAGTTATAATTTGAATAATTAAGTTATAGATTAAACAAGTCTGACAAGTGCGGAGAGAGTACGTTGCTTGGCAGCCATCTTTGTGTCGAGCTCGGCAAAGCAGCTCCTGCTTAGCGACGTACGGCGGGATTCATAATGCATCATTTAGATCTAAAATATTCAAAGATGGAGTTCACGGTGGAATCACAAATCACACAACGCAAAAATAAAGTTAGATATTTTGATGGGTGATTTTAACACCATTCATGGATAACAAGTATCAATACAATAAACTGACCGATTAATACAATAAACAATAAACTGAAGAATGAAAAGATGAAATGAATTTTAAATTAAATTGAATAGCGAAAATATAACTGATCTTGATAAACTCAGATACCATAGATAAATTTCAGTAATGAAGCATCAAAATCATCGTCGTGATGTATACAGATAAAATGTATTAAGTTGCTAGGAAATGGGCAAAAACTGGAAATGTAAATGGGAACAAAACAATGGAAGAAGTTGAAAGTGAAGACTGTTCAACATTTGACAAATTTAGAGTTTACACGAGTTTATATGATCATTCAAAGCCCGGAAAAAGAGCTAGTACGGTACCTTAATTTGCTACAATTTTCAATTCGTAGCCGCAAAAATACATACACTCGAGCTGGGCAGCGCTACTTTGAAATGTAGCGGCCGCTACCGCTACCGCGCTACATGCTCTAAATGTAGCGGGCGCTACCGCTACCGCTACAGTAAAATCTAGCGCCGCTACATTAGCCGCTACAATGGTCAAAATTATTGGAAATCTCTAAATATTTATTGTTCTGCTATTGGGCTTTACACATAAACATTTAATGAGAATAAAACATTTTCAAAACATATCAATGTAACTTTATTGCAATTAACCTAACCGAACTAGTACGGGTTAGATTACAGTAAATAAAAATTAGTTATTTTTATGTTTTACCTTCCCTACATGGATGTCTACTTTAATCTACCAATCTCAAAAATTATCCACATATACATATAAAAAATCAGTCTTTTATTTGTATATATATGTGGATTTTTTTGAGGTTGGTAGATTAAAGTAGACATCCATGTAGGGAAGGTGAAACATGAAAATAACTGTGTAAAAATAACTGCAAGCAAACTGAAACATGAAAAAATACCGGTAAGTGTAAACATGTTGAAACTAGTAACAGGCTGAGGTTGACAACATTACACCGAAATCTTTCGTACAGTTTTATTCTGTAATTTATATTAAGCATGTATCAGCTGGAGCATGTAAGCAGCTGGTTTTTAAATAATATTAATACTATTAAGTAAAATCTAAAGGCTTTATCTATAAATGGAGCGGTAGCGCTGTAGCGGCAAAACCTCATATCGCTACTTAAATATGTAGCGGGCCCTACCGCTACAATTGCTTAAATGTAGCGCTGCTACCGCTACCGCTACTGCCCACCTCTGCATACACTTTGCATTTTACAAACTAAAATCTATCAACCATCAACCTAAAATCCAGTGGGCTAAATAGACTTGCGCACGTCGAAATACTCGTATGACAAGGCAAAGATGAATTAATCGAGGTTCTCTATAGAATCAAACTAGGAATCGAGCAAAAAAATTTGATAAGATTGAAGAGACGTAGCTCCAGTATGTAGCTACCGGAACAGATTTGAAAGAAACTCAAACGCATTTAGGAAGGGAGACAAGTAGTAACCATTTGTGACTGCAGAAAATCTCAAAAGACAAGTCATCACCACAATGATTCAAAGATGGGTTCACCAAAGATTCACGTAGTCGATTAGTAATCACCAAAGATTCACGAAAAAGAAGACTATTAATCGCAAAATAATCCAGAAAATAACTGGAGGAAAGACAAAATAATCACCATGGTGACTTCAGAAAATGACGGGAAGAAAGGCAAGTACTAGTCACCATGGTGACTTCAGAAAATATCGCCAAGATAGACAAGTAGTCACCACGGTGACAAAATCACCCTTGCAAGGTCGGCGTACAAGTGACTGTTGCCGCTGTCATCGCGCTGTGGCACGAGAACGTCGACTTGAGAGTCACGTAGAAAATGTGAAGCTGAAGTGATCACCACAAGAGCGACGGAGGCTGCCACTTCCGTTTGGAAAGTCGAAGGATGCGAACAGCTCCTGTTGAACAGACTGCTCAAGAGATGGTGAGATGGAGCTAATAACAGCTCCTTTTAAAGAGACTGACTGCTCAAGAGATGGTGAGATGGAGCTAATAACAGCTCCTGTTGAAGAGACTGACTACTCAAGAGATGGTGAGATGGAGCTAATAACAGCTCCTGTTGAAGAGACTGACTACTCAAGAGATGGTGAGATGGAGCTAATAACAGCTCCTGTTGAACAGACTGACCGCTAAAGAGATGGTGAGATGGAGCTAATAACAGCTCCTGTTGGACAGACTGACCGCTAAAGAGATGGTGAGATGAGCTAATAACAGATCATTACAATGGAGGACTTCAGAGTAGATAAGAAGAAAAGGAGTCAAAAGGCGCGTCTGGCTCCTGATGGACTGACGGCTCTAGCTCACATAAACCGGCTCCGTACTCGCGCACCTCGAGTTAATTTTAGAAGAGCATACACAATTTCACGATGAACACTCTTCGTATAAAATTATTCTGGTCTATGAATCACCGAGAGCCACCGTAACATATTACTGGAAGTAGCCCTACGAATAGGTATTGACAAGATGTCAATCTACTGCATTGAAATTGCACCAGAGTTCAGATAAGAATTTATCGAATGGAGTTTGACTAAGGAGCCCCAGTGGCAGTACTTACGAGGAGGTATTTACAAAATTTAAATCTACAACCTTGGAAGTGCGCCAGTGTTCATATATGTAGATATTTATTGAATTGAATTTGAAGTGAAGCGGCAATGGGACACGTTACGTGATATAGACCTCTCAATTATGAAAACACGAGTATCTGTAGAATTTAACCATTATTTACCATTGTAAATTGATGTAAGCTGTTAGTGTTAGTCTACAGAGACTCTCAATGTTACGCTGTCAAGATAAATTGTTACAAACAGACTAATTCTTAAACCATTTACACATGAACAATCTTAGTACTATCTTCAACACTAACAATCTTCCATTTAATCGACTGTACGCATGACGTTCGAGGAAAACTTGCGACCATAATATCACGTTCTGTTTGTATCCTTCACCTACTGGCAACAAAAACGTACAACACGTGACATGAAATCTAATGAAATTAAATTCATGGACAAAGAGAAGCTTGTACTGCCACATCCTCGAGCACGAACGGCTGCTAATTTTCTAAAACAGGCCGCGATTGATACTCGAACAGATCCCGCAATGTCGAGACTTTCTCAGATCATCTTCTTGAATGATCGATAGCTTTAGGTAGGAAGCAAAACTTTGTATCCAAGCAACTGATTTTTCACTAAATAGAAGATTGGAGGTAATCTTTAGCATCTTTTATCACTTTTTAGTCTCGAGGTCTAGGCCATTTTCTGTCGATTGAATGTAAAGTATTTACAGATGAATCCTGAAACTAACTCGTAACAAGGACGACATCTAAGACGATCAAACTTCGCGGAAGTAATAATTGTATTCTTTAAAATTAAATAATATAAACGAGTTATTCCTGAACTCGGAAAGTCATAAAAATCTAAACGGAAATATATTACCATCGTGCATTTGAGTAGCACTAGAAAACTGCTAAAAGCACACTTTGTAGTACTGTAATCTCCAGCTATGTATTTCGCGCTTAACCCACCGCGGCCTCACTTCATCGCGAGTTTTCAAGAAATATTACTGAAAATAGTAAACGCCGATTTACGCTGGCTCGCTATCTTTTGGGGAAGTCGATCGGCAGGTTTTTGAAAATTATTTGAAAACTTATGCCTTAGTTAATTAATGAACATTTCAAACAATGATGAAGTAATTACCCAAGCAATTAAATTAAAAATAGCCAAAAATGTATTCTCTCAGTGGATGGATTGCGGATTTTACCTATCGCGGTGCCGGATCTGAAACAACACGAGCGATAGGTGAGACATTACTGTTATTAAACGCATTCAAAAGGCGTTCCTTAACATACAAGTGACAGAGTACATTGCTGTAAGTTTCAATAGAGAAAAATGCAAGAAATATGTAATAATGTTATTAAATTTGTAAATAAGTGACGAAAAAATGATATAAGAAGTCCAAATGATTAATCTCATTTCACACCAATCAAGCTTTTCACTTTATCCAAAAATCAGCAATTTTGATTTATAAGACAAGAAAAAAAATGAAAATTAGTAACAGAAAACATCATAGGTCTACTTTTATAAAGAATATTTTCGTACTAATAAACTTATGAGGAATATTAATCAATTCACCTACTGTGCACCTAGTAACAATGGTCTTTTTCACTTTTCGTCGAAGTATGATCAGAATTAACGCACGCACTATATGCGTATGTATATTCAATGAAAATAGCCATCCTTTACACTTTATCCGAATGAGCTAGACACAAATTGATCGAAAATACGATTGAAAAATCATATATTTTTCTTTTAAATATCTTTAATAAATATTCTGGAAGCTCACAATATGTCAAAAGAGCAAAAAAATAAAAATGGATGATCGCATGTTATGATTTCTGCAGAATAATTGTGAAAAGTTTAACAGTTAAATAAATAATCATGTGCTCTATAGTGGACTTCAGAACGCATACACATTACACACATAAGACAACTTCTCCCCATGGTAGCTTCCGGTACTAAATAAACGTAAAGGTGGACGAATGTGTCCGGTGGATACATCGCAATAAGGAACTTAATCGTCACAATCGAATAATTTCTTAATTGTCCGCATTGGTAACACGGACCTTGAAGCTCACATACTTCATATACCAGCGATAACTTTTGTAGAACTAATGTTAGTGATGTGTAGCTCTAGAAGAATGTAGTAAACCATTCATTGCAGTTTAATATAGTTAGTATTGTCGCAATGATTCCAAGCAAGGACATCTCAGTGTACTGCAAGTTCCTTTGTCACACTCCATTCTTGCTCAGAGCTCGGAGGCGAGGCAGCTACAGCTCGATTTCACTACTCATCAACACGGATGCTCCCTTGACTGTACAACGCGCCACCGACACTACAGGAACTCCCGACGCACGTCAAAACTTCATGTTTTGTTCATGCAATGTCAGTAAATTACCGCTGTTCTTCGCAAGACATTAGGACTGTACCATTCCCATATCATGTAAAGTTTAGTGTGCGGTAAAGTAGCTTAGATTTTTTGTCGTAGCTCAAAATTAGTAAAGATGCATACTCGAATAACTCTTATGGCTGCAAATAGTTTGCTTACATTACGATAAGAATTTTTTAACGAAGCTTCTTAGGCAAAATTTGAAAATCATGAATAAATCTGAACGCCAATCGAACTCAAGCAACATTAACAATTGAAGAGCTCTTTTTCAAGAAGAGTAATCGCGACTCCGCTCTCAACATTTGTAATCCAATACACCAACCAATTTAATAATGAATAATGGAAAAGAAATTTTACTTTTTAAATAATATCCAATAAAGTCCAACTGAACTATTAGCAAAGCTGGGCCAGTTTGATCGGTGCTCAAACGTTCCACGGACAGCAGGAAATCCTCCTGTATATTGAGGACATATCGTTGAACACGTTTACGCAAACTTGCGAACTCGCTTACAGTAATTACAATGTTCGTTCGTTCTTGAACAAATTTGAGTTCGAAGCAATTAAATAGAGCTTCTTTGGCAATATCAATCATAGCCAGCCGACGAATCGTCGATTATTCAATATTTTACATCATCTGCCTCATGCAGTTGAAGAGCAGTAGTCATTTCACCGATACCATTTAGCGAATGTAGTATTATTTATCAACCCATTTTTTCCGAGCTTCCACTGAACTTCCATGCAAGAAAGAACGCGCCTGGTAAATCCTGGAGCTCATAAATACACGTGCGTCAGCATTAATCACATGAGCTAACATGAGTTACACAACGAATTAATGCTCAAAACTTCATGAAGTGCTTGACTCAATAACGCTTCCTGGCTGCGTCTGATCGTTGTATGACGCGATGCGCACACTATCGAAAAACTTCATTTTTTACAGTACAAGGAATACAATGAATGCGCGCATAATTTCTAAAGTAAACACGAAATTTAATTTAAAAAAACATTTCAGTTGTCATTTCAGCAGCAGGAATAAAATTCAATCCCGTACTCTTCACTTTTCGTGAATGCTAAACACAAAAGTTTACTGGGAAATCGCATCCTTAATCGAATATTATTCATGCATGCCATAAGAAAAAACTCGAGCTAAGGCCGTGGGTCCAAGACTTGCAGTGCGATGTACGGTATCCAATCGCACAAGCTCGCTATCTTATCGTTGCCTCCAGTTATGTTCACCGAAACAACTCAGAAAAACTACAATAACGGAGAAACTTTGAAATCTTCTATCATACTGCACATATAACTTAGGATATTAGCATAACAAGCCAAACTATAACAAGCGAAAAAAATCCAATTTCCTTTTCAAAAAATAGAACAGGTCAAGGTTGATTTGGTACTTGCGTGGCAGAAGAAGCACAGCTGAACCGCAGCTCTTTGGCTGCCAGACGCGCGACGTGACGAGTACTGTCGCAACAATTATAAAATAAAATATTGCAATCTTCCCACCACGAAAACAGTCACGATTCTAATTTAACTAAACAGAAACACAAATTTGAAATGATTCTTATGATCAATCTAAGCGTACTTTGAGCGAAATGAACAAAATTTTAGTGAGAATATCACGGCAAATACCACCACCAGTCCATCAACTACCGACCGCTGCGGCTGGCTCAGTGAACTGTCGTCGAGGCTCCCGATTGCCAAGAACATTTTCCAACTTATACCACAATTTAACAAATGCATGAATTATAAGACACATAAAATGATTTATCACGTATACTTACATGTTTTCCAAGAAGAGTTGAAGCTCTGACTTAATCCATTTAGTCACATTCACCGTTTTAATGAGTAACTGAGTCTCGCGAACGCTGGCGTTGCTGGCTGGTGAAGCAATGACGAGAACTCTAGTGGCGGCAGCAGCAACCAGCGCAAGAACACGCACCTCTCAACCTCACTCTCCACTCGAACGCC